CTCACATGGTACAAGGCTATTCACAACAGCCTTGTACCATGTGACAAGCTGTGACCAATCACAGCTCACTCAGTATTTCTCAATGGCTGCGAGAATGCAGACAGAGAGAAAGAGAAATGAGCTAGGGTGACCGTATGTAACAAAAAAAAGAAAAAAAACAAATAATAGTATAAAAAAATAAAATAAAAATGTAAACAAATGTTTTAAAAATTATAATTTTTGGTTATAAACTAATTTGGCTTATTTTTTTTTTTTACTAAAAAGATAACGGAATACATTTCGGCCAAGATTTATGATGAAAGATTATTTGCAAAATGTTATAAGAAAAACACTTTTTTTCAAAATTTTTGGACTTTTTTATTTACATAGCAAAAAAATAAAAATCCCAGTGGTGAATAAATACCACCAAAATAAAGCTTTTTCTGTCTCAAAAAAATGGTAAAAAATTCATATGGGTACAGTGTTGCATGAGTGCACAATTGTCAAAGTGTGATAGCGCTGAAAGCTGAAAATTGCCCCAGGAAGGGGGTAAAAGTGTCAGGACAGGAAGTGGTTAAACTGCATGTCAGGGCAAAATAGAAGAAAACATATGTCATAAATCTCTATAATAAATGCACATCTCCCCATGTTTTATCCATTTGAAGATCCTTGAAGATTAGATCTGCCAGAAAAGAACTCAGCTCCCAAGTCCTGTTGTGGACTGACTGCAAGCAGTATTTTTGTGTGAGTGGTGTCAGCCCTGCCCAGTTATCTTTTGCTAAACTACTCAAACTCACTTATTTTGTAGGCCAAGATAAGAAATAGGATGGCTATTTGGATACCTAGAGATAAGACAGGAAGTGAACCCAAGGCACCAGACATTGCTGAATTTCTGACTGTATCAGCAGGTACAACAAAATGATTTCAATGGTAGAATTAACAGGCCAAAAAAAAAAGTTTGTGTACAGAACAGTTTAATAACATTCAGTTATCATTTCTGTGGGTAATATTTTAATACTGTATATGTACCATGTAACTCTACTATGGGTTATGTTTGGTTAAATTAGAAAGTGTGTATCCATGGCATGAGAAATAAGCACAAAATGGCATGAAAAATGGGCACAAAATGCTGCCTGCTAAAGAGTATCCACTCACACACTTTAGTGACAGAATATATTGTGTAACAAAATAACGCAGCAAATGTTAATAGAAACGGCAACACTTAAAGTGGACCTAAATTCAAAACGGAGTTTGTCTGCCTATTTTCCAGGCTGTGTACTGTGTGTTAAAAAGGCACCTAGTCTTGCCTTCTTCAGGATTCCATGTAAGGATCTGTTCACATATATGCATTTTGCATTTGATGCTTTCTCCAGTGCTTTTTGCAGTTTGTTTTACGTTTTTCTACACGTGTTTTTAATGCACTTTTACCGTGTTTTGCTCAGCTTTTTTTTTTTTAAAGTGGAATTTTCTTTTTTGTCGCTGGACAGAATAAAAATGCAAAACGTGGTAAAAATGCACTACCATGCATTTCAGCAGCTTCTCCATTGAAGTCTATTGTAGAAAAAAATGCAGCTTTTTGCTTTTAAAAAAGTCCCTGACCCTTTCCAAAAATGCAGCAGCTCAAAAAATCATAAATTGTGAACATGTTCTATAGGAAACCATGTTAAATGGACTGTAGTGCGTTTCTGCAAAAAGCACTAAATAAAGCATTGGTGTGAACGGAGACTAATACCTTATTCCCTGCTTCTTCTGGCCCAAAATAGCCAAGTTTTAAAAAAAGCAGAGAGGCGAACACAGGCACATGAGCCTTTAATGCTATATGACCAACCTTTCCAACAAAAACAAGATGTTTGCTCCACCTTTCCGACAGACACTGTGCTCTGCATTTTATGAATGGCATGTAAAATTCACAGTGCAGAGTACCCCCTAAAAATTATTTATGAATTTAGGTCCACTTAAAAAAACATCTAACATGAAATCAAAACTTTTTTTATTCTTTCTGGTCAATTACAGTGGAGTTAAAAGGCAAAAATTTTCATTTTGGATAGGGTAATGGAGGAGTTATCCCTGCAAGGTTTATTTTTGCCATCCTTTTTGGATTTCTGTGTATTTCCTGTCCAATAATCAAAACAGAAAGTGGGAGTAATTCACTTCAAAGTGAGGGAATCCCTAGTTGTCACCAGATCTAGTTGTCCCCATTGAAAGATTTCATATTACTTACTGTTCTGCGGACAGGCTAACATGAATCTCTCTAACAGGGGAACAGACTGCAACAGGGGAACCTGAGAGGTGCTCTAATTCACTTCCACACTGCCCAAAACAAAATAAAAACAGCACTTTTTTTTCAAAAGGTACCACATTCAAAAGATTTTCAAGAATTCTGCAGACAAAAAAAACTACGTCAGGTGGGAAGAATAATAAGCTATTTGGTGCCCTATAATAACATTATGAAAAAAAATCTTTACTTTTTATTGTATGTTGTTTGAATCAGGTATAATGACATCAAACCGGGTGGAGTACTTAATCCTTCTTCTCTTGGGGTTCCTGTTTGTCTCAGTTATATGGAAACTCCACTAATCCTTTAGCTGTTTAACTTCTAATTCTTCTTTTTAGCATTTCAAGGTTACATTGAGGTCTTTTTCCTATTGTTGTATTGAAAAGGAAGCATGAACTTGCAAATATGCAAAGGTTACTTCTTTCCTACTCATTTTCCCAACCAGCAATGTTTGCTAGACTATGATATGCTGAGACAGTGCATGAGGATGCACACAGAGGCAGCAGCAGGGGCAAGCAACATTGTAAAGGTGGGGTGGGGGGATACTGCTTAAAACAAATGTTATTTTAATCAATAATACACATTCAGCAGGTGTTTTCTAGAAGGCAAGTGCAAATATTTTAATAGTTAAACTTTTTACCTATCTTTGTTCCTTCAGAACAGTAGATATCACTTGGCACCTAAAGGGTAAACTGGAGCCCATTATCCTTAAAGTGGTACTAAACCCAGGACCCTGCATTCACTATATCTGGTCTCCCAAAGTACACAGAACATGGAAGTGCAATTATTTTAGTAAATATGACCTTTTCTCATCAGCAGTTAGAGCAGTCTTGTGACTTCTATCAGTGTCCATCAGAGCACTGGTTAAAGCTTGCAAAAGGAGTTTTCATTCTTCCCTGACCTAGGAGGCTGCAGGACCCCTGAACCTGTCTTGACAGCACTGATTGGCCCTGTGCTGATCACATGCACTCTCCCAAGAACAAAAAAAAAAAAAAAAACACTCTAGCAATACACCGCAAACTGAGCATGTGCAGCTTGCCCCCAAGGCTCTGTTCTATCAGCAGATGGATTGGGGACTGTGGAAGGATTAACAGAGTATCTGTATATTAGCTAAATTAAATTTTAAAAAATGTAGAACAAGTGAGTTTATTTACAAGGGGAAATATCCTTTGACAACAGCTGCCACCTTCTCTAAATCAGACTATAGATACACATTTAACATGAAATTCCACCAACTATCTTTGCATCACATTATGTAAGAATTATGACCTCCATTAAAGTACAGCTGTATCTTTAACAAAAAGAAAAGGAAAACATGTAGTAAGCACTGGGCATTCTTGGGCCTCCTTACAAAATAGTGGTATGTATGTCTGTTAGCTCCAACCATGAGCACTGCACACCACAGCCTGCTTCCAGTGTTCGCAAAAGCTGGCAACACTGTTTCTATCAGTGATTCATGATGTAGACAAATGGATATGTTTGTTTCACGCTAGCTTATGGGCAATAATAGCCAGATTTATCCACTTCATGAAGGGACAGACAAGAATCACCAACAGAAACAGCACAGCCACTGAAGGGTGCATCACTCGTGGTCTGAGAGTACACAATTATTTGATGGGTTAATTCACGTTTATTAAAAAAAAACTCTATGCAGTCCACAAACACCTTTACATAATTGTAAAATTAACCAATTTTAAAAATACGCATTTATGCTCCTCCCATACACCTGTAGGAATTTTTGAATGGAGTGTAGCCAGTGTCAGATGCTTCTGATAGTTTTCACAGCTCTATCCTGTCCAGAATGGAGCTGTGAAAACTAAAGGAAACATTTGGGATAGGCTTCACTACATCCACAATAGGTTTACAGGTATGGGAAGAGCATCAATGCATATTTTAATAAATTGGATTAGTTTACCATCATGGAATGGTTTTTGTGGACTGCATAGGGTTTTTTTTAAAGCTAAACTTGCCCTTTAAAGCGGTTGTAAAGGCTCATGGTTTTTTACCTTCATGCATTCTATGCATGAAGGTAAAAAACATTCTGCGTGCAGCAGTGCCCCCCAGCCACCTCAATACTTACCTGAGCCCAATTGAGATCCAGTGATGTGCATCACAGTTTCGACTGTCCCGTGTCTCTGCCTCCTCATTGGCTGAGACAGCAAGCAGGGGCCATTGCCAGTCAGCCAATGAGGAGAGAGGGGGCATGGCCAAGTCACGGCTCCGTGTGTATATAGACACATGGAGCAGCAGGTGCCCCATAGCAAGCTGCTTGTTATGGGGGGCACCTGACAGAAAGGAGGAGTCAGGAGAGCCTGCAGGGGACCCAAGAAGAGGAGGATCCGGGCTACTCTGTGCAAAACCACTACACACAGCAGGTAAGTATAGACATGTTTGGTATTTTACCAAAAAAAAAGAACCTTCAGTATCGCTTTAAATGTATCTACTAGGGTGGCCCACTTCTTTTTTATGCATGTTATAAATACATGCTGCATATTTTTTTAGAAGGTATAATTCCAACAAACATTTTTCTTATGCAGCTTCTATATTGGGAAATGTGATAGCTTATAATAGTTTTTAAGGATTTATCCATCCTTCATGCAAAATAAAAAGCAACCATACAAAAAATATATTTTAATTAAATACAAAAACGTACAAAGCTCAGGAAACTTTTGTAATTAATTCTAAATTGTTGAGTTCCATGAATTAATAATACTACACTATAACTCTCTCTTCCAAATAGCCATCTTTAGAAGGCAAGTTTCTTCATCATAAGGTAAATACGAGAATCCACTTCAAAACCATGAAGATTATTAGCATCTCCCTGTAGTCTCATCAATAGGCCACCATACGATACGTATGCAGACCTGAAGGGAAGCAGAACATGGTAAGTAAAAATTTTGTTACAGAAAGATAACTATATGATGAAGTGTACAGAGATAAAAAAAAAAAAAATGTTTGGGGTGGAGTAATCTGAAATGCTTACAGGCGAGTAGCAGCTTCTGTGGATGTTTCATCTCCTTCTATCCTGTAAACTTTCCCATACATGACATATTCAAACTGGTCGGCTCTGAAAGAAACATAACATCTCTTGAGTTATACCAGTCACCAACGATGGCATTCAGACTAAGGGATATCCTTTTTTTCCCAAAAATAATCCATATACATTGACTACTTTATGCCCTGTAACCTATTTTTCAATTAATTGTTTCTCATTGTGTTTTTCTGTCTTTCTGTAACATCCCTCTCTGAGGATGACTGATCTGTTCTTCGATGTCCATGTACTGTACTGGTTCCTATGCAACAACTTCTTCCCAGCCACACAGCGTCCAATGTATGCACTGCCACCCCTTCTGTGTTTTATCACAAATGTGTGAGCACTGACACATCAGCTCCTAGCTGAATCAGTGAGCTCTATGTGTGTCTATGAAATATTCTACCTGCTTATGTGCATTAGATCTGATTACTGTGTAGCCATGCCTAACGCCTCATGTTTCAACACAAACAGCAACTGCGAACACTGAAATGTGAAGATTTACTCTGACGCCATGTAAATCCCTGATCAATGCACATCTTTGAATGACATGAGGTGTGTGTAAAAACATGTACCATGCCTTCAATAAAGTATATGACTATTGACTTCATTTATACAGCCATGTTAAAAATTCAATCTTATTTTGAATACCCAATCATTTGCAGGTGAAATAGGTAGAAGGATTTGCTTTTCACTTGGCTGTGATTTTGAATTGAATACGCACATAATTTATTGAGTGAAGATTCTCATTTTCTTGAGTAAATAAGCTCCTGTGTGAAGGGAAAGGGCTTTTGGGAGATGTAGATTTGGGTGCATGTGAAAGAACTGGGTTCTCAATGGCTGCAAGAACTATGCAAGCTTGGTAAAGATGTTACTAAGTAATGTCCAAACATACCCTTTAACTTGATAACCCACCCAGCATTTGTAGCAATTAGAACTGTTAATGCACCTGGAAGGGCGGTCATCATTGGGGTTGTACTCTCCATCATCCAATGTGCCATCCTCATATAGTGTATTGGCAATAACCAAGCGAAATTTATCACCTGAGAACAAATGATACCATAGGAATTACAAGAATACATTACAAGAAAGAATTCAATAAATTAATCAGGATTTGAGTCATTGGGCTTTTGGCAACGGCATCAATCTGACAAATACTTCTGGAATAATTTCAAGTTCACTGATAGCTACATCTGACCTTTTGACCTGATTTAAATTCTTGCCTACTGGGCACTTATACCCCCTTCCTGCCAAGGCCAATTTTCAGCTTTCAGCGCTGTCGCACTTTGACAATTGCGCGGTCATGCAACATTATACCCAAATGAAATTTTTATCACTTTTTTCACACACATAGAGCTTTCTTTTGGTGGTATTTACTCGCTGCTGGTGTGTTTTATTTTTGCGCTATAAACAAAAAAAAAAGAGAAAAAATTTGAAAATAAAAAGGTTTGTCTTTGTTTCTATTATAAAATTTAGCAAACAGGTAATTTTTCTCCTTCACCGATATGCGTTGATGAGGCTGCACTGAAAGGCAGCACTGATGAGGTGGCACGGATAGGCAGCACTGATATGTAACAATGATGGTCACTGATCGGCAGCACTGACTGGCGGCACTGATGGGAGGCACTGCTGGGCCCTCCCAGAACTGGACAATTGCGCTGTAGCTGTTATTTGGCTGTAGCGTGGTTGGCAAGTGGTTAAGCAGATTCTGCATTCCCATTGACTTGTATGGGAAAACAAAACCTGCTTGAAACAAAAAAATCTCATTGACACAGGCCCCAAGTCTGTTTGCAGAGGGGTAAGCAGACAGTAGTAGAAAATTTCAGGTATACTATTGTGTACACATGGAGTGACACATACAATGTACGGCACTGTGTAACCAGTGAAAAAATATGGACATACTTCATAATGTTCAACTGTATGCAGTCCTCACCATATAGTACAGTCCACATCACTTATTTGTATACTGTTGTGTAAAATATGTTCTACTTCTTCATTTCGTGTGTCTACCACCCTGTAAGCGAAATACACCACAGTAGAGAATGTACATTGTGACGGACATTGTGAGTCACCAATAAATTTGACTGTGACAATATTACCACTCTCCTCCTGTTTACGGAGCTAAATTCATTTCAAATGAGTTTTTAGTTTGCCATTTGAGAGCTTTCTATTCACTTCCTGTCTCATAGCTGAAGCAGGAAGTAAGTGGAAATCCCTCCAAAGTGAGGTAATCCCTAGCTGTCGAACTAGTGCCAACTAGTGTCTGCATTGGAAAATTTCCTGTTCTAGAGACAATCCAAAATTTGGGATTTTCTTTCACTGATAAGGGTAAACATGACAAATAGAGAAGGTGAATCTCCCTAATTGGCGCATAGGCAGCAATTAAAACCTGACAGGAAAAACAGTTAAATCACGTTTTATATCAGTGTGTCGTCCTCATGCACACTAACAATACTCACCGTTTCTGCTGACTCGCATGGCATCGTGACGTCAGAGCCCCTCCCCTACGAGTTGCGCCACAGGGTCACGTGGCTTCCTCAAGGGGATTCAATAGGATGCCACAACGCTAACATCTTTATATATGTAATCCCGGCGCCATATTTCTGGAGTCCGCACGGGGGCAGCTATCTTAATGGGGCCAAATAACGCCATTTGTGTATGAACAGTGAATCAAATTAGATACACTGTTCCTGCTGTCTACAGAAACTATTTATACATGCCCTCACTTATCTCTGACATAATAGTCACTTGTACTGTTAGCAGCTGTGCAGGACATCACTGGGCAAAAAGATATATATTATCTAACATACTTATTAAATACATAAAAAAATGATAATACACTTATCACTTACTATATGTATGCCCTTATTACATATATTTATTTCATACTAACCTTATTGTGTTAACAATTATATTTAATAAATTTAAATAGAATATATTTAAAAAATGTTAAAATTTTAAATTGATTAAAAATCCTATCTCCCTAGAGTCATTACTCTGTATCCACTACTCCTTTTTTTATATATATAAATTTATGTAAATGACTGAAAGTTCTTATGAGATAAATAATCTAAAAACTCAATATGGTTATGTATAGTTATATATCTAGTCATATTTAATACATAATAAAAGAACAATCAAAAATATGCTTAATAATTACTAATAAAACAGGGTAAATCAAACTCCTTATTAATACCTAGAGGTGCTAGGCATCTCATTTCATGTATCCACTTCGATTCTTTTTTACTGATCTCTCTAACCAAGTTGTCTCCTCTCCAGTGCCTATTATGTTTCTCTATTCCCCAAACCTGTAAACATGATGCATCCTTATTATGAAATTGACGGAAATGTAGCGAAACATGGTGATATCTGTACCCTCTATTTATATTATACACATGTTCTTTGATTCTTTCTTTTAAAGCTCTTTTTGTTCTACCTACGTATATAAGGTTACAAGGGCATTTTAAGACATAGACCACTCCTTTTGTATCACACGAAATTAATTGTTTGATCTTATATTCTTTATTATTGTGGGTATTAAAAAATGTATATCTACGTCTAGGGTTACCACAAACCCTGCTGCAACACCGCCCACATGAATAAAAACCTGTACCCTGAAAAAAACTCATGTTACTTGTGGGTTTAGGTGGTTCTAAGATATTTTTAACCAATCTGTCTCTCAAATTGGGTGCTTTCCTATATATATATATATATATATATTATTATTTATATATATATATTATACTTAGGTTTATCAGGTATAATATCTTTTAAATATTTATCTAATTTAAGCACCTTCCAGTTCTCATCCACTCCCTCATCATATCCCGACTCGATTACTGCAACTCCCTCCTCACTGGCCTGCCTCGCCACAAGCTATCCCCGCTTCAGTCGATCCTGAAATACGGATTTTTAAAATATTCTATTTAAATTTATTAAATATAATTGTTACAATAAGGTTAGTATGAAATAAATATATGTAATAAGGGCATACATATAGTAAGTGAGAAATCTATTTATGTTTATAAGACTGGATTAATAATCAATTGAGTTAGCGAATAGTAGTTCTCAATTAGCATTATATGAATTACGGCAACTTTTTTTATTATTTTTAATTATTTTCTATCTACAATTTATCTAGTAAGAGTACCGTATATATTCGAGTATAAGCCCACCCGAATATAAGCCGAGGTACCTAATTTTACCACAAAAAAACTGGGAAAAACTATTGACTCGAGTATAAGCCGAGGGTATCAGTGGAAGGAATAGTGCCCCATCATTGGTGTCAGTGGGAGGAATAGTGCCCCATCATTGGTGTCAGTGGGAGGAATAGTGCCCCATCATTGGTGTCAGTGGGAGGAATAGTGCCCCATCTTTGGTGTCAGTGGGAGGAATAGTGCCCCATCATTGGTATCACTGGGAGTAATAGTGCCCCATCGTTGGTGTCAGTGGGAGGAATAATGCCCCATCATTAGTATCATTGGGAGGAATAGTGCCCCATCATTGGTGTCAGTGGGAGGAATAGTGCCCCATCATTGGTGTCAGTGGGAGGAATAGTGCCCCATCGTTGGTGTCAGTTAGGAGGAATAATGACACCAATGTTGGTGTCAGGCACCATATTAGTATCAGTCCCACAATGATGCGGCACTATTCCTCCCATGACACAATGACACTTGCTGACCCCTGTTGCAGTATGGTGCTGCTGCAGCCAGCATATGTGGTTGCAGCAGCATCTCTGCACTGCACACTTACCGGCTTTTCCCTCACTCGATTTTCGTGGGTCCGCTCGGCTCCGCATCCTCGCCCATGATTGGCCGCCTGTGTACCTTTCCTGAGCTACAGTTCTGGCGGCCAATCACCGGTGAGGAGGCGGAGCCGAGCGGCAGGAGTGAGGGAGTGGCCGGAGTGACGGAAGGAGCAGCGCCTCCTGGATGGATCATCGTGGGAGACAGGTAAGAGACAGCAGCCCTCTGCCCACCCCTGTACGTGCCCCCCTTGACAGAGCCTCACGCCCCCCCTGTTGACTCGAGTATAAGCCGAGGGGGCCGTTTTTCAGCACAAAAAATGTGCTGAAAAACTCGGCTTATACTCGAGTATATACGGTATATAATATTTTTAGTAATTATTAAAATGTGTTTAATGGAGTCACACCTAGAATGTATTATCGTTTTTTTATGTGTTTAATAAGTATGTTAGATAATATATATCTTTTTGCCCAGTGATGTCCTGCACAGCTGCTAACAGTACAAGTGACTATTATGTCAGAGATAAGTGAGGGTGTGTATAAATAGTTTCTGTAGACAGTGGGGAACAGTGTATCTAATTTGATTCACCGTTCATACACAAATAGCGTTATTTGGCCCCATGAAGATGGCCGCCCCCGTGCGGACTCCAGAAAAATATGGCGCCGGGATTACATATATAAAGATGTTAGCGTTGTGGCGTCCTATTGAATCCCCCTGAGGAAGCCACGTGACCCTGTGGCGCAACTCGTAGGGGAGGGGCTCTGACGTCACGACGCCATACGAGTCAGCAGAACGGTGAGTAATGTTAGTGTGCACGAGGACACACTGATACAAAACGTGATTTAACTATTTTTCCATGCGAGTGCGCATTTGTTTTTGCATCTAATAAAATCTAATATCAAAGGATAAGGCACTATGTGGATATTTCTGTCTTTCATGCATCAACTGGAGGAATAAAGGGGAGAGGAGGAAATAGGAGACAGACCCCTGCAGGACAAGGGGAGAAATCCTCATCTATTCATCCTTTACTCACAGCCAAGAAGGGAGATCAGGAGACCCCCAGTAGAAGGAGATTATTATCACAGTTTACTCATCATCATACATATTTGATTATAGTATGGACATCCTAATCTGGCCCAGCTAAGGACTTTTAAGCTTATATAGCCAACTTTATGGTTGGGCTATATAGTGAGGTGAGCGCATATATAATTTTCAGCATAGCATGCTCACAAAGGAGGACTATTTTTTAATTATGTTTTATTTAAATTTGTTACATTTTTTATTTATTTTTTTTAAATATTTTTTAATATCACATTAAATGGTTTCTTCACACATCACATTTAATGAATTTTGTTGTCACATTTGATTGGTTTATTTTACTTGCATTATTAATCTAATATCACTGTCATTATGGTTTTGGGATGACATCTTATTCTTATTTTTGATTGAATTATATCGGTTATACTCACTGAAAATATTTATTAAGTTATATAATAGCACATTACCTCTTACATTAGATTGACTTTATTCTAATACTCAGGTGTTTATATTCATCTTGATTTATATAGTTTTAAAACGGTTGCACGTTTTTGTGTGAGAGGATTTATATAATAATATTTTATCATAAGGAACACTGTCCAGCATTCATAAAATTTATATTTTGTTTTTTTGGGTGGAGCGCAACACACATTTATTATTTATCAAACATACAGAAACAGTGGCAGCTAACAGATATAAGAGGGAAGAGAACCAGTCACAACCACAAGAAGAAGAGAAGAAAAATAATTGGAGCAGGCTATAGGAAGCAAAAAAGCATAGAGGGCTAAAAGACTGAGCAAAGAACTGAGACAGTAAAAAATGACTGAGCTAACGGGGTGGATATGAATGTGGAGCAGAACAGAATAGAGATAAAAATAAACAGTACAGTGGAAGTCACAGAGCTGGCAAAAAAACTGACACGGAGCACTGAAAAATAGTGGCAGTCAAGCAGAAAGCCAGGTGGGAAAGAACAGTGATAACAGCTATGAGGTGATTTAAGGGAAGAATAGGGCAGAATCAAGCAGCCTTACAGCAGGACAGCAACATGTGCACAGTAAGAAAAAAATAATTTTGGTGGCAGAATACTGCAGCACTAAAAATCTGATATATTATACTTTCTTTTTAGTACATGAGAAGAGAAAGTATTGAAAACTAACCAAGATCCACAGGATATATCTGAATGTTCACATCAAGGATAAGGTCCATCTTAAAAGATTCACTTTCACAATGCAGCCTGGAAACTGGGGGAAAAAAAATTAGAAAGCTCGGAACAGACTTTAGATTTACATTGCTTTTCCCTTTCTTTTGTTAAAAGTTGTTCCCTGAATGTGAATAATGTATGATCGTTATTCACCGCTGCTAATCCATGCCGATCCATAATGTAATCCATACACACAAAGAAAACAAAACAAATAAATTCAGAAATGTAAGTGTTACTAAACCCAGGACCCTGCATTCACTATATCTGGTCTTCCACAGTACACACGACATGGAAGTGCAATTATTTTAGTAAATATAAACTGATAAATACCTTTTCTCGTCAGCAGTATATAGCAGTTTTGTGACTTCTATCAGAGTCCAGCTGAGCACTGGTTAAAGCGTGTAGGAAGAGTATTGATTCTTCTCTGACTGTCCTATGTGGCTGCATGACCCCTAACCCTCTGTCTGGACAGTGCTGATTAGCCCTGTGCTGATCACATGCACCTTCCACAAAGAAAAAAAAAAAAGCTCTCTAGCCATACACACTAAACTGAGCATGTACAGAGTCACTCCTAGAGATCTGCGCTATCATCAGATGGATTGGGGACAGTAGAAAGGGAGGATCAGAGAAGACAGGATCAAACAGGCTTTTTTTTTTTTTTAACACAATGTGGAGGATTAATCCCTTAGGTTCCACAGTGGGTACAAGCATGCTTTACAAACTGATTTTACTGTTGTGGGTTTAGTAACACTTTAAGTTATCTGTAATAAAATGGAATGACACAGGGAAAAAGTATTGAACATGTTAACTGACATTTATTTAATGCTTCGTACAAAATCCTTTGTTGATAATGACCGCTTCAAGACTCCTCCTGTATGGAGAAACTAGTTGCATGCATTCCTCAGGTGTAATTTTGGCCCATTCTTCCACACAGACTTCAAATCTTGAAGGTTCTATGGGCCTCTTCTATGAACTCTGATCTTTAGTGCTTTCCAAAGATTTTCTATTGGATTCAAGTCAGGTGATTGGCTGGGCCATTCTAGCAGCTTTATTTTCTTTGAAACCAATTTAGATTTTTCTTGCACTTGTGTTTGGAATCATTGTCTTACTAAAATGTCCACCCTCGTTTCATCTTCATCATCCTGGTAGATGGCAGATTTTTATCAAGAATGTTTTGGTCCATTTTTCCATTCATCTTTCCTTCAACAACATGACGTTTTCCAATACCGTATGCTGAAAAACAGCCCCATTCCATGATGTTCCCACCTCCTAACTTCACTGTTGGTATGGTGTTTTGGGGTGATGGGCAGTGCCATTTGACCCCAAACATGATGTGTATTATGGCATCCAAAGAGTTCAATTTTGCTCTCATCTGAGCAGACTATATTCTCCCAGTATTTCACAGGCTTGTCTAAATGTTGTGCAGCAAACTTTAAACCAGCTTCAATATGCTTTTTCTTCAGCAACGGAGTCTTGCGTGGTGAGCGTGCATACAGGCCATGGCATTTGAGTGCATTACGTATTGTTTTCTCTGAAACAATTGTACCTGCTAATTCCAGGTCTGAAACTCTCCACAAGTGGTATTTGGTTCTTGGACAGCTTTTCTGACATATCTTTTTACTCCTCTGTCTGAAATCTTGCGAGGAGCACCTGGACATGGCCAGTTTATGGTGAAATGATGTTCTTTGCACTTCCGGATTATGGCCCCAGCAGTGCTCACTGGAACATTGAGACGTTTAGAAATCCCTCTGCAACCAATGTCATCTGTATGTTTTGCAACAAGTAGGTTGCAAAGGTCTTGAGAGAGCTCTTTGCTTTTACCCATCATAAGATGTTTCTTGTGTGACACCTTGCTGATGAGACACCTTTTTATAGGCCACAAGTTGAGACTGAACCAGCTGATATTAATTTGCACTGACAAGGGGCAGGATTTATTTCTAATAATTCTATATAGCAACACTTACACCCTATAGTATCCCAGAAAAGTTATCCACCTCCACAATTGAAGGCCAACTAGACAAAATATATATGACTTTCCTTTAAACAAATAAAATAAAATAAAAAAACCAACACAAAACATCAAACCATGAAGAATTGTCCAAAAAATTGTCCAAAAAATTCAAAATATAAAAATATATAAAAATCAAAAAATATAACAAAAAATAATCCCCAATTGGTGATTAAAGAAAAAGAATCAGGATTTATTTCTAATTACCGATAGATTTCAGCTGGTGTCTTGGCTTTCCATGCCTTTTTGCACCTCCCTTTCTTCACGTGTTCAATACTTTTTCCCTTTGTCATTCCATTTTATTAGACATAACTTAACTGAAATTATTTGTTTTGGTTTCTTTGTATGTATGGATTGCATTGTCAATAGCACCTTTAGAAATATATTTAACTAGAAAAATGGTGATGTGTTCAATACTTATTTTACCCGCTGTATATGCAGTTTATTGTGCATGTACAGTTACACAAATAAAGTAATAGAACAAAACAACGATGTCTTCAACTGTCTGCCTGACTTACTGTATATGTGCATTTATTTTAAAAAAAGGGCAAGCTTGTGGTGTGGGTTTGCGGGTTAGAGGGGATGTAACCTGGGTCAGAGAACGAAGGTGTGGGAATTGGAGGAGGGGATGGTATTTGGAAGTTTTGGGTCAGACAGAAGGGTCTGGTGAGGGTATCATAGTAGGGGCATGGGGGGGAGATGTAAATGCACAAAGTGAAAGTCCGGAAGCAGCAGGAAACACTTTGTCATTCATTAATGCCAACCTTATATGTGGTATCTGGCTTGATAACAGATTAAATTGTCAAATTGTGCAAGACTGAATCAGGAATGCAGTTGCTGTGGTTGCTAATGCTATTTACCATGCCTCCATAACATACATTAGATAGGTGTGGGGTCAGTGGCTAGGGCTTCTAATAGACATAGCAAATCTTGGTGGCTCATGTGTTATAAAAATGTTGATGGTACGCTTTTAAAGCAAATCTCCAAGGATGACCACACTTACCTCAAAACCTCCTCTGTCCCTTCTAGAGCATGTCCTAGTAATAAGTCTTCCTTTCACCATGTTCTGTAGTAAGACACTTTTACTACTCCCTGTTTTGTCTTCAACAGGCTTGAAAATTCTTGCCAGGGAAGCTGAAAGAACCTTTCTCAACCTAGCTTTCTTAATTTGTTATCAATGTATCTTCCATTTGATAGTGCCTGTATAGTTCCACGCCAATGTCAATTGGCAGAGCCAGCTGCATGACACCAATGATTTTTTTTTTCTTATCTGTCTGTAATATGGCATTCTGTCTACCATTGTAAAAGAGGCATTCTTCCCACTAATGTAAGGGACCTTGTTCTCAATCATCCTCTAAAATTTATATCGGTAGGGCCGTGAAAAGGGGAAGGACTGGCTTTGAAAAAGGGGAAGAAGTAGGCAGAACTGGGCAAGCATCTAAGCAATGCTAAGCTGTGGAGAAAGGCGGGACTAAAAAGGAGTCAGTTGGGGGCAGGAACTATCTGTGCCTCAATGTATGCAGTGATCAGCATACGTCAGCACTGCCTGACAAAGGCTGGTCAACATGAACCTAAAGGCGCTGAGAAGTCCTGTCTCCCAGAAACTACAGAGGCGGCTGTGGTGATCAACCCCATCCATCACAAAATTGAAGTACTGACAAAGTGACAGCAGGATTTCAAAAAGAACAGTAATAAAATGGAACTAACTATAGAGGAAATCACAGACCTTCTATATATGGTGAGCACATTGCTGCATTTTAGCATCTTTTTAGGTCTGCCTGGAGATAAGCTTTAAGTGTCATTGTGGCAGAAACGTGCTTTTTTAAAGAGGGATGAATGGAATAAAAGTGATTCCTTTACACTGTAATATGGATGGGACAAAAATGTGATTTTTTTTTTAATGATGAGGAAAACTGTCAAACTAGAGCCAGATATAAAATTTACCTCGATCAAATTTTCTTCCTTCAGGGTCAATATCCTTTACATCAAAGATGTCTTCAAACAGAATGCCAGCCATGATGCCTTGCAGACACTACAGAAGAAAGAATAAATAGAGAACAGCATTACAGTTGAGAACAAAAATATAATTACTAAAGGTTTCAGGCCATTTTCTTCTCACTGATGTTTACTCTAGTGGATGCCATTTTCATTAATAAACCTGTTTCCTTACATCCTAATATGAACTAACCTTAAGCTGGTACACATCCTAGATTACTTGTGCAAAGACTTAAAGGCTAAGTTCACCTTTTGAAAATAAAAATAAAATAAATAAATGCACATTTTTTGCAAATAAAAATTTGGGAATTTATTTTTTTTTCTAAGGAGCCTGCAGAGTAGCGGTCACCAAATGGCAGACCGCTGTCTGCCCCAGCAGCACTGCCGCCTGGACCAATAACATCTCTTCCGCTGAGCAGGGCGCTCGTCACGGAAACATGACATCACATGTGCGCCTCACCCCTTTCAGCTCACTGTCTCTCCAGCTCCCCTTCCCTGCCTGTACACAAGCGTCCATCAAGGATTCCAGCAAGCTCCTGTCTACCCTCAAGGTAGGGTGTAGTCTTACAGGGGCTCGCTAATGGGCACATCTTAGAATATGCCCATCAGAGTGCCCCATACCATAACATGTGCCCATCAGAGTGCCCCTTAACATAACATGCGCCCATCAGAGTGCCCCTTAACATAACATGCGCCCATCAGAGTGCCCCTTAACATAAACATGCGCCCATCAGAGTGCCCCTTAACATAACATGCGCCCATCAGAGTGCCCCTTAACATAACATGCGCCCATCAGAGTGCCCCTTAACATAACATGTGCCATCAGAGTGCCCCTTAACATAACGTGCCCAACAGCATGCCCCTTAACATAACAGGTGCCCATCAGAGTGCCCCTTAACATAACATGCGCCCATCAGAGTGCCCCTTAACATAACATGCGCCCATCAGAGTGCCCCTTAACATAACATGCGCCCATCAGAGTGCCCTTAACATAACATGTGCCATCAGAGTGCCCCTTAACATAACGTGCCCAACAGCATGCCCCTTAACATAACAGGTGCCCATCAGAGTGCCCCTTAACATAACATGTGCCCATCAGAGTGTCCCTTAACATAACAGGTGCCCATCAGAGTGCCCCTTACCATAACATGCGCCCATCAGAGTGCCCCTTAACATAACATGCGCCCATCAGAGTGCCCCTTAACATAACATGCGCCCATCAGAGTGCCCCTTAACATAACATGCGCCCATCAGAGTGCCCCTTAACATAACATGCGCCCATCAGAGTGCCCTTAACATAACATGTGCCATCAGAGTGCCCCTTAACATAACAGGTGCCCATCAGAGTGCCCCTTAACATAACATGTTAAGGGGCACTCTGATGGTGCCATCAGAGTGCCCCTTAACATAACAGGCACCATCAGAGTGTCCCTTAACATAACAGGTGCCCAATCGAGTGCCCCTTAACATAACAGGTGCCCATCAGAGTGCCCCTTAACATAACATGTACCCATCAGAGTGCCCCTTAACATAACATGTGCCCAATCGAGTGCCCCTTAACATAACATGTGCCCATCAGAGTGCCCCTTAACATAACATGTGCCCATCAGAGTGCCCCTTAACATAACATGTGCCCATCAGAGTGCCCCTTAACATAACATGTGCCCATTAGAGTGCCCCTTAACATAACATGCGCCCAACAGCATGCCCCTTAACATAACATGCGCCCATCAGAGTGCCCCTTAACATAACATGCGCCCATCAGAGTGCCCGTTAACATAACATGTGCCCATTAGAGTGCCCCTTAACATAACATGCGCCCATCAGAGTGCCCGTTAACATAACATGTGCCTATCAGAGTGCCCCTTAACATAACAGGTGCCCATCAGAGTGCCCCTTAACATAACAGGTGCCCATCAGAGTGCAGATGCAGGAACATATTACATAAGGATTAGGTGAATGAATCTTTTAAAGCTTACATGAATACTTGTTCCAAACTTTAATAGCTACTCACAGAAGTCAGTTGTAGAAACCATTCCATCACAGAGAAGATGAGGTTTAAAGATATAAGGGGGTCCCTGACTTCGCATAGGCACTATTCACAAAACACCCTGCATTTTTCTTAACAAATGCAAAGTATTATCTGGATGGGCAAGGTGGAGATTGTGACAACACCACCCCTACCTCTCCACTTATTTAATCAGAGAACAACTTTCATTCATTAAGAAAAATGTAAGGCCTTACATACTTACCTTGATCCATACCTGGTGTTCAGCTTTAAAGTGTACCCAACACCAAATCTGTTTTTAAGTGTGTATCACAGCAAAAAAAACCAAGCATATGCAATGAGTACACATTTTCACATGTATTCTGCCCTTAAAGGCCCTGCAAATAGAGAAAATGCCAGTTGATCTGCCAGAAATACACTCAGCTACGAAGAGGAAGAGAGACACAATTTCACCAGGTTAGGTCTCGCCCACACGTGACTATTTGATCCATACTGGACTGTGTTTTATTTATTACATATTTACATATATTGTATATTCACATCAGTCCCTGCCTTCAAGGAGCTGATAATCAAAGGTTCCTAGCTCACACTCATACATACATATACTAGGGCCAATTTAGACAGGATCCAATTAACCTACCAGCATGTTTTTGGAGTGTAGAAGGAAACCTGCAGGAAACCCACACAGACACAGGGAGGACATGCAGACTTCAGACAGGTAGTGTTGTGACTGGGATTCAAACTGATGACCCTAGTGCTGCTAGGCAGAAGTGCTAACCACTTAGCCACTGTGCCATGGCGATGCACAGGTGCTGCATGCATCTCCATGCCAGTAGTCCCATTGCGGTCTATTGGGAGCATGGACACAGCTGCTGCTTCCAATGTGACACCCGTGTGGGTGCGCAGCCCTGAATTCACCCATGGTGAGTTCAAGGTCACGCACCCGTACACGTCATATTGAGATACAGCGGCTGTGCTGTGTCTCAATAGACATGAATGGGACTATCCGCATGGAACACCTGTGCATCCCCGTTGGGGTAAATGTGGCTTTGCATGGGGGTATGGATCAAACTGCCTTGTGTGACTGAGCCCTTACGCTGTAAATTCAAGTGTAACCTATAATATGGTACAAAAGGTGGAGTTAGACTTTAGCTACTCAACCACTCCTATTTTCAGATCTCCACAACATACAGGATAAGTATTATATGCCAGAGAAGAACTAGGAGTGCTCTTTAAGATAACACAGGAAGTGTGCACCGGTCACAGGACAATGGGCTTTATTTTTTACTAGTGTATTATCTGTGCTTATGGACCAATGATACCAACAGTGTAGCTGCCTACCACTCTTCTTATATCCCCCAATGGATATACAGTAGATACCAGAACTCCAAACTTTTGAGTGTGACACTACTTGATACTTTGAATAAATGTGCTGAATATTGTGCTAAAACTCTGAAGTGCTATAAAAACACCTCCCTCCCTTATGAGTGCATCATTAACATAAATACATTATATGTGCATCCGCCTCAAAATAAATGTGCAACAAACTATAGAACACCTCCTTCCTCTGACATTCCATATAATCCTATGTAAGTTTCTATATAATTGTTTGTGGAATCACAGTGCTGATCCTGAAAATATATATATATATATTCTCTTTATGCAACTGGTGAATAGTGTACTATAGAACACCTCCCTCCACAGAAAGACTGCATGTGTTCCTGTGTAAATTTATACAATGATGAATATTTGTTACATCCTCTCCATAGACCCACTCCTTATGACGTCAAGCTGATGAAACTGGTTGGGCAGAGCCTTTTGAGTAAAGTGGGTTTGAATGCTTTTTAATGTAAGTGCAATTCTACTGTCTGTGTGACGTTTTAATAAACGGTACTACACTATTGGAGTTCTGCTTTTTGGTTCTCTTGGATTAAAACCTGGTGGAGTGGAGGAGGAAGGAGATTCGGGGACCCAAGGGATATATTGAGAGGAAGTGTGGAAGAGCTGAAGATGGAAGTTATACCAAGCGCATATGACTCACCTGTAAAAAGGAGTCTTGTTTTTTGGTGAGTGTGGACCCATACAGGGGGGAGCACGAGTGTCACTTGAAGGAATGCAGCACTGAATTTTTTTTAAAGAGCACTTTAAGTGGATTTCACATAAGCACTTTGTTCAAGAAGTCACACACTTTGAATGTCCAAAATGTTTAATTGTATAGACTTTGCACAGGAACACATGTAGTGTTTTAGTGGAGAGAGGTGTTTTATAGTACGTTGTATATCAGTTGCACTATTAGAGCACTTTTTAAGGTTTTGTATATTGTAATGGAGGATGTCACAAATATTCATCACTATAAATTTACATGGGAACACATGCAGTGTTTCTGTGGAGGGAAATGTTCTATAGTACACTATACACCAGTTGCATAATGAGAATATATATATATTTTCAGGATCAGCACTGTGATTCCACAATTATATAGAATTTGCATAGGATTATATGGAATGTCAGTGGAAGGAGGTGTTCTATAGCTTGTTGCACATTTATTTTGAGGAGGATGCACATATAATGTATTTAGTAGGTTAATGATGCACGTATAAGGGAAGGATGTGTTTTATAGTACATCAGAGTTTTAGCACAATATTCAGGATGTTTATTCAAAGTATCAAGCAGCGCCACACTAAGAAGTTTGGGGATTTTTTTTTTGACACACATCTTACATCCTTTGCACACAAATCCGTCAAGGAGCAGTGTGTCTCCCCCAGGAATGTAGTGCATGGGGGGGGGGGGGGCGGTTGCAGGTGCAGCATTTGGTCCCTCTGCAGGCAGCATGTGAAGGTCTACGGCAGGCTGCAGCTAAACGTTGTACCGGTATTTAGGGTAGGGTTGCCACCTCATCCCTTTAAAACTGAACACATTTACACAGGTTCTGTGGTAACCACTTGTCTACAGGGCACTTATACCCCCTTCCTACCCAGGCCAATTTTCAGCTTTCAGAGCCGTCACACTTTGAATGACAATTGTGCGGT